ATACACACCCCAAGTTTTCCCAAGAGTGTCATAAAAGCTCTGAATCACAGGGGCCACATCCTCTTACAATAACACTACATTATACGAATACTATACACGTACCAAGCTCAGTGATAATAGTAATATCCTTGGTGGATCGTTAATCGCAGGTACAGGTTCTATTGCGGCATGTCCACATCCGTGTTTAGCTTCCTCCGGTACCGTAGGCTATTAGAAACTGTAGTTAATTTAATAGTAATTTACGAATTGGTTTTTGTTAGTAATGTAACTAAACTGTACTGTAAAGTAATCTATAGTGTAATTGGTTCTGTCAATACCTATTGGAGGAAACTTGCGGTAGTAAGTGAAGATGCTCAGATAAGTTAACAGCAGATGCTGGTCGCTTATGGTACAAGAAAAAAACCGGTCAGGTAGGAGTCGAACTCGTGCGCCGAGGGATCCGTACCTACCCAGATTTTACGTAGATTTTCGAGAAAATTTATCAAAAGTACCAAAATTCATTTTGTTTTTAAACTTTTTTGTTTTTTGGAATTATTCCTTTATTTGTGCTGTAAGACGTTTCTTTTTGCCAAATTTCGTGATTCTAGGTCAACGGGAACTACCAAATAGGTTTTCGACCCAAAACCTATAGGGTACTTCCGGTTGACTTTTAAGTAAAAGCAAGGTCTTACAGCACAAGTAAAGAGAAAATTCAGAAAAATAGAAAAAGTTGAAAATTAAGGTAAATTTTGGTACAAACTTTTAGATGGCGCCTTCTTTTAATAGTTATCCTATACCTAGTAGTTCTGTACTTGAAAGATATCGATACTGATGTGCATGACTACATACATAAAATATAGTACACAACGTAATTTGTATTAATACAAAAACTCAAACACCGATATAGTCAAAAACTGGTTGGAACACAAATCCAACTTGTCTTTCAACAAATAACAAACTTTATCTAGTAACATTTCAGTAACATAAAGATAGTTGTATTGAAAGTCGTTAACACGAAAGACTGTCCCACACATTCGCTTTGCATCGGCAGTTAAGATAGGATCAACTTAAAATATCCCGATTGCAATATCTTTCGCAATAAGTAAGGTTATCTATCGACGTGGAGTAAGGATTTGTAATCGCGGGATAATCCAGATCATGGCGCATTACATGTTGTGTTGGAATAAAGCCCTGTGCCAATATTTTATTATCTCGGTTTTCCTTGTAATTTATGATATTTTATAGTATTGGTGATATGACGATATTTTTTGTTTATGGTTTGAAGTACTGACATAGACATCATACATTCATAATTTAAAAACATCACATCACATCGATAAGAAGCCAGGACGGCCTAAAGATTCGGTTGCAGCCTACAGGCCCATCATGTTGCTGGACGAGGCCCGTAAATTATTTGAGAGGCGAGATAACATGCATAGGTCTTTATTTTTGGATCCAAAGAGTGCCTGTATAGGCGTCAAAGGCGGCGCTATTTACACTGTTTATTACTAAAGCTAACAAAATCTTTAAAATTTTAATACAATGAAGTCTTAGTATTAAGTGAAAAACTAAAACCTAACACCTAATACGGTGTGCAAGTATTCTATTTTATATTCTAAGCAAAAATATCATATCGTGCCCTACTTATTTAATATGTCTATACTTGAACGGAAAAATATAACTGTAATACTGACCACCTCGGTGGTGCAGTGGTAGTGTATGCGACTGCTGTGCTGCGGTCGCGTGTTTGATGCCCGGGTCAGACTAAACGTTTGCATGACCTGCAAATATTTGTATCGTATTTTGGGTGTTTTAAATGTATAATATGTACGTATTTACGAAAAAATGCATATAAGTATTCTATCAGTCAATCTAACTTTCATAGTACAAGTTCTGCTTAGTTTGAAACTAGATGGCTTTGAGTGTTTTTCATTCATTTTATTATTTTCATTTTATTATTAACACTTTACAGTAGGTATTTATTAAAACTTTATAATATTTTTTATATCATAATATAATAAGACTTATTGTTATGTCTATCATTTTAATACCTACTTTGTTGTTTTTAGTGAATTGCTTAACTAAGTTCGAAATAAATGAACAGTCTCATCAAGACCACCCAAAAATTACAACTAAAGATAATTTTAAAATAAATGGGTAAAGCAAACATATCTTACTAGAAAGTTATTTGAGTCAGCCAAAGCAATTATTATACTCTCTGAATTCAGATTGATATCAGACACTAAATTAATAGCAATCACAATGATTAAAACAAAATGCATCGAAGAATGTCTTTATTTAAGAGACGATCGTAACCGAAGGCACATAAGGAATAAGTAATGTGCTCAACTTTAGTAATAAATCTTAAAAGAATGCTTTGGCTGCTCCCAAAAGGATACTCGTGGAAGCATTCACCTTCTATTTTCCTTGTTATTTATGAACCTATGCTTTATACTAGAACCGCGGGCCAAGAATAAAATGGGTAACTAAAATGAATGGGTGTAGGTTACCATAATCATAGATATAAAAATGAAACTGAATAACTTTTTGTTAATGAAAACGAATGGGAAATCTAGAAGCCGACACTAAAGTACACCTATCTGAGTATTTTTGTTTTCATATAAAAACTTATCGTGATGCGAGTTTAACGATACGAAAACAAAAAGTCAATATCTAATCTCGATGGGTGAAATATGGGAATCCACGGAGGTTCTCGTCTATTATAGTACAGAATGTCGGTTCTGTCTTCCATTTACACGTAATTTACATTAAGATGCCTTCGCATTTGCATTTCGGAATAACCTTTTCATAATCGTGACGACGGTGGCTCCTAACTTAGCGATTAGCTTAATGGATTTCTCAATTTAATGAAACTCAAACTTCGTAATTGGCTTTTTAAAAGATAGGACGGAATTTACGATTACTTATTTCATTTTTTTCTCCGCCTCGGCCGCCGACGGAGATATGTTTTTTGAATGTTCGTTTTAAAAGAGAAGGCATTATTGTGGCCCGTTATTTCATATAATTCTGGTTAAGTATTTAAGCTGTCACAGACGGTATGACAATAGTTCGAATAGGGTGCCTCGATGCTATGACGTACAAATCTTTTTGTTTGATCAGGCGTTTGTTGATAACAAATTCGTTGACGTTAATCCTCAGACAATAGTACCGTTTTATCCGGGGAAGAATGATGGGTCCAATGGACTCCAAGCGAAGTTCAATCCCATCGTTTGTTTAGGGAAATTTATGAAATTATTGCTTTTATTGATGTTTAACCATGTGATGAATCCCCTTTTAAACCGAAAGTGTCAAAATTAATAATTATTATTAATCATCACCATAATGAAGAAGATAGGTGGGCAGTTTTTATATTTTTTTGTCCATAAATGCAATCAAAGAAAAAAATGATATAGGAATAATATTTAGTATGCAGCAATATACATATTATGTGTTTTCAATGTCTTTAATATAACATCAAATAAAAACTGTAATTGCAGCACTCATTTCTAAAGCGTCAGGCAAGTTGGAGAATGTAATAAAAAAGTTCGGTAATCTCGCTAAAGGTGTCAGAACCGTTCGTTAACCGTCATTCTTTTCATCTACACTAAATTATATAAATTACTAAAGTATTTAGTTTTTATTCAGACGTCGTTCCAACCACACTGGGAAGATTCTTTAAGTAAGTATTTTAAAACAAAAGATGGTCCGAACAATAGCGTCTTTACTTTTTCAAAAGTTAGGGATGGATTGAAACGAGGTTTTAATTTGGCAGACATATTTATTTATACACGATAAAGATCAGCGTCATCATTTATAGCAATTTATTTATTTACAAATCGAGTGAAGGTACTAATTAATAACAAAAAATAAATAAATTTAATTAACTTTCTAACTTACGTTCTACCCGAATTTTGGTTGTCACAGAACCAAAATTTGTCACAAATAAAAGTAATTTTGGTCTCTTTTACATTTGCACTACGAAACAAAACTAACGTTATTTAAGTACGATTGTTTAAAGTCTAATATCAACTTTAAACAAATAATTATGACACTACACTGCATAATCAAGTATTATTACGTACATGTATGGCTAAATGTTTCGAAAAGACACTTTTCCATGCGGGAAAGGATATACCACATAAACCAGAAACAGTACGCTTTGAAAAATAAAACGTTGATACATCCACCCGTAGTTCTACAAATATCTCTCATAGGCCAAGAAAAATATAATTTCTCTGTTATATTTTTACAATAAATGTTTCATTTATTTACAAATACATACATGTATGTTTATTGCTGAAGATGTCGTAAAGTTTTACTAGAATGAGTAAGAATCTCATTAAAACTATTACTGTAAAATATATCTATTAACTATGTTTTAACTAAACAGTAATAAGGACTAGTTGTAAAAATAGTTCTAGATATTTATATCGATTAGTCTAATAAATTTGATTCCATATAACAGTGACTATAACGACACGAAGTTATTATATTTTGTGTCCTTATAGTAGATGCTAAGGTTTTATTTAGAAGTACAAAATGAAATGTAGTTGAACATCGATCTCGGTACACGCAGTACCGTTATTTATTTACAAGCAATACAAATCATACATATTTTTAGAAAATTACCATTTAGATACTATTTTATCTTCTTAACATATGTACATAACTAACTTTTTCTGGTGTTAACCTTACTGTTTTTCATAAATACATTTATAAGTAATAACTTTATAATTTACAATCGCCTAAATCTACGTACAAACAAAATTACATGGGTAATTTTTATTACAGCAGCATTTACATACAGTGTTCCAAGTTCATTAAAATTTACAACGTAACAAGTTGCACGACATTCCACAAAATATGCAATTTAACTTCCACTTAAGTCACTCATACGGAGTTTTAAAGTATCACAAATAACACATTTGTCCACTTGAACTGTTTGTCTTTACCGAAATTTGTCCAAATGCTTAGGAACTTAAGCCGTGGTCTTCCACCGACAACATATCAAAGCTGTGACGTCACACAACTACATCACGAGGTACCGATTCATTGTTAGCTGTTTCAGGTACTAGAACAGGCTGGAAACAGTGTGCTGCTGGAACGAAATCTTCAACAAGCTTTCTCTTTAACACAGAAGATGAACCGACATAAACGTTGGTCCCAGGGAACGTGCCGCGTCGTCTCCGTCTCCATAGAATTGCAGCCAGCACGGCTAATCCAAATGCTATCATAGCTGATAAGCACCCAAGTACTAGCTCCGAATCGGGAGACCGTTCTGGTACTCTCTCTCCCCTCATAGAGCTTACTAGAACAGACATCAATCGGTCACCCTCACTAACTTGAACGTCCTGGACGCTTTCGGTCGAAACACGTTGCGCTCTACTGGTATCAATAGTCATCGTTTCTGATCGCTCATTGTCGACGCCAGGAGTTCGAGAAACAAGTTCCACTTGTATGTGATAAATCGTATCTGGCCACAACGACAGAGTGACTCTTGTAGAGTCTGTGAATAGATTTCCTTTTAGACCTCCGCCGTCAACTTCCCAAGTTACTAAGTATACACCACGAGCTATTCTTGGTTCCCAGGCGATTTCACCAATAACGAGTACTTTTTGATGAATGAGAGAAATCTCTTTCAAAGTCCACTTATGCTCATCATGGTTAGAAGTATTCGTGTCGTGAGCTACCCAAGTTTCATCTGGACTATAAATAGTGACTAGACCTAGGGGATCTACAACAAGCACACGTAAAAGAGCTCCTTCATTATTTGATGGAACACGTGTAGCTAATGCTTGTGTTTGTATGATCTGTCGCCAAGGACCTTCAGCAGCACGACGCATAACGACGTAGACGAAAGGTGTAGGACGAGAGGCGGCCCGGGGAGCAGGCGGTGGCCAGCGGGCAAGTGCACCACTCACACGCATGACCCCTTCGCCCTTTGTGTGAATGACTGGTTGAGTTTGAGATGCACGTGCCGCTTCCGCGTGGAATTCACAGGCGATTTTGCAACCAGGGAACTATAAATAAAGATTAAACATTACTTTTTTTTATATGCAAACTAACTAAGAGTTCAAGTAAAAAATTGACAACTTACGCAAATGTCTCTTTCTTCGCAGATCGCTCCCCACACTTGGTAGTTGGACTGCAGTAGTTCACAGTTTTCCCAGCACTGTAACAACAAACGTATATTGTACAAATCATCAGATATTCGTCACAATTTAAACGAGTCTTTTGAACTCCTTTGATTTATTATCACGTTGGTCATTAAGTCAAATGAGTAGTGTGTACTGACATAGACAAATCTTTAAGTTCATGTTCATCCAAAAGGTAGTGTGTTCAAACTAAAATATTTTTGTCAAATTAGTGTGTGTTATCTGGTGGTCGTGGTGACGCGAGCGTAGATACAAGTCGTTTGTCATTACTTTTAGAATTGGGGCGAGCTCATTAACGAAGAAATAGAAACACGGGAATGGAACACTGAAAGTAATGGCACAGACTGAAATAATGATGAGATATGTCAAAACGTGTGCTTACACAGAGGTATACAATAATGGCAGGGATGAAATTACAAACAGAATGCATAATTTTTGTATTCTATTTGAAGTTACATTATTTATTTTTATTTGCGAATTATATCTAAGTAGCATCTACCTTTATAAGTTTTTAATATTTAAAAGTTTTGTCTTAGTAGAATATAAATTTCATGTTGTGGAAAGGCTCATCCAGAAAATTTGACTAAACAGTCCCCCGAATGCAGCATTTGTCATTAGAAACGCTCATTAGTTGGAGTTGACGTTAACTTGACGCCGCTTTCGCCTCGGTGAGCTTTAATAATTATAAGAACGGGCGAACCGCGATTATTAATTACTGGTATTGACAAAAGGTACCGTCGCGTGGAATCCACGTCGTTCTAGGTGGGAATTTATCGGTTTTAGATTTAAACCTGCAGATGCTTAGTATGAATGTATTTTTTTTATTTACTTTAAGAAATGACTTTATGAGTAAAAGGTAAAAAAAATAAGTAAAAATATATAATAATTATTCAAAAGCGGATAAATTTAAAATTGCTTTTTACATACGGTGGTTATTTAACTATTACAACCTTTGTCGTAAACAATCCAAAGTTAATAGGAAACCACATTAAAAGACATTGGCAAGTAACTGTTAAGGGTCTATTACTTTTTTGTATGATCATTAAACCGCTGAGTTAATTAAATGGAGATAAACTATTATGTCCCTGCCTTTAATAAAACAGTAGTAGATAAACATACTTAAAGTTAATTTCCTATCAAATATCTTATAACATTAGATTTTCTTTAACAACCTTAATGAAACTGCAGATCTTAATTATTTATATATATTTTTTCTTTGAGAAGAATACATTCTCGCAACGAAACATATTTTACTATATAAAGCAATCATTTCCAATTTTATATTAGTAAAACAAAGAAATTTATTAACATAACGTTAATGAATATACTCTGCTTGTTCTTGAATATGCAACTAACTAGTAAAATATACAATACCTTAACAAAAAACCTGAAAAGTCAATCTTTTTAATCGCGTTGTGTCTGGGTTATAGTTTATACCTAGGCTAATAATTAAGAACGTATCATAAACACTTACCATAAAACAGTCGGGGTTTTGCAAACACGATGACTCCCCGCTGGGCCGAGGCGCCGCGAACTGCAAACAAACACCAAAATGTCAAACTACCCATATAAAAATATCCTAAGTATGCAATTAATACCACATCATTATTCATTCTTATTATGATAAAGACGTTTCATTACCCAATGTTATTAATTTTTCAATTGTGCACTGAATTTATTTTTTGTAGAAATTATATGATAAATTTTAATGTGACTTGTATTATATTTCATAAACTGTTCAAGAATTAGGAAAATAGTCATCATCATCATCCTTTAACAGTCCACTGCTGGACTTATTCCTCTCCTTAGAAATAAGGTTTTGGCCTACTATACCACGCTGGCCAGACGGCTGGCCAAACCTTCTCTTTGCAGTGCTGTTGTCCTGAGTAGTTTGCTCCCTTACTCGGTTCTAACGACACCCATGGGATGAATAGGGGTGGTGATACTCCCTATTCTTAATCCGTCACCGGACACAAGAAAATAGTAGTAAATATTTTTTATTAGTAATTAAATTTCTACAGAGATTATGTACTAGAAAAAAGTATAGTATACGGCAAAATTTAGTATTTTAAATTATACTTTCAAAACTATTTTTTTTTATCATGATATAAAAACCACAAGTCATAAAACATCTAAAAATAAAATATTTGTTTGTTTCTATTGTCATCCATTAAGTTGTGTTTTTGTTGATTTTTAACTCAGTATATATCTAGGTAATTTATCAACCGCCATTGTGACACTAATTCAATCTAATTTACGTATAATTAAAATAAATCCATATACCAAGTGCTTTAGTAGTGCTACCAGTCACTTAAAAGTTCTTAATTAACGCTTGACATCGCATTTTAATTTCGGCCAAACTCAATGTAAAAGGGACATTTAATTATTCGACAGAGCACCAATACATTACTCGTTATCTCCACTCAGTTCCGAGAGGGGTTTATGTACGGGCTAAAAAAAAGAAAATAAATGTTCGATTCGAGCAACCAGTTTAATGTATTTGATAAAACTGACGGGCATCTGCTTACCGTCGGACGAACGGTCGCTTTAATTGCCTGATATGCCAATGCAACACTGCTGGGAGGCCCTGTAGCGACCTAAATGTCAAATATTTAATGTCGTGATGAAGAGTTTATGTTAAGATTGACAATTCCTGTTTTTTATATTCTTTGGACTAGCAATGTGTTGAAAATAAAGTATAATAGTATTTATTAAACAACGTGTAAGGCCGCCTTGGCTTCAGAAGCAAATTTTTATTTAGTAGGTGAAAACATGTGAAGCGTTTCCGAGTTATTTATAGGTATTAACAAAGTCAAAACATATACGTTTTTTGTTATTTATATAGCAATATATTCGACCAGATGTTTATATCTACATATGTGATTCGTGGCTCATAATACTGAACTGGTTTACATTAAATATCCACTTAAATTTAAAAGGCCGTTGCTAGAGAAGTTCTATTCTCTCATCCAGATGCTATCATTGACATTACTTTTTTTTCACCTTTCAATAAAGTATGATTGGATATGATTTTGTGCCAAAATTAAGTATCACGATACAAAATCTTGAAACAAAATACTTTAGAAAGCAAGTAGTGAATAAAGAGTAGCAAAGGAAAACAAAATTACTCTTTTAGGTCACTATCATTGCGGCTAATGATGCCAATCTGTGGCAGAGGCCATCAAACGACTCCGACCATCTACCCGTTATTAGATGTAATCATCGTAATTTTTCACACAATTTATTTTTTCTTACTACGATATTATAGCTCAGGAGTGTTATTTCACGTCAACTAATGACAACAAAAAATATACATACACTAGATTGAGTGCGCAATGCGTGGACTATAAAAACACTAACTCTCCTTACAACATTCTTACTTCAGTTGCTCTTAAAAATAAACGTCACAATTCAGGGGAATTAAAAAGATACCACGCTAAACTACATTAGGTGTAGCTAAGCCTATTTTTTTTATTTTGTTTTATTGGTAAATAACTGACTGACAAACAACTTTTAAGTTTCTCAATACGGAAGACTTTTAACCCATCGGGATAATTTCAAGTATTGTATTGCACGATTTAGAGAGTAGAAATATGAAAGTTAAACAAAACAAGACCATGTGAATATACTTCGGCAACTGCAAAGGGAAGTAAGTGAATAACGAATGACGGTGATTGAAAACAGCTCGTCGAGTGGTCTCGTATTTATGTTAGATGCCGCCACAGATTACCCTTTTGTTAATCAAACAACGTTAATTAAATATTATTTAATTAATATTTCTTATTTCACTTTAGATAATGACAGAAGAAAAAACGAATCACGTGTAGATCAGACGGGATATAGTTATAGTAGGAATTAAATATTGAACAGTTCAATAAATACAAAAAGCAACCTGATAAATGGTCTAACACGCGGATACACCTCTTAATTATTACTCCGAAATCACCGTTAATCTCAATACGAAATGAGGGTTCAAAAACTTATTACCCTTTTTAGGGCGAGTCAGGATATTGCATACCGACACTTAAAGAATTTACGAAATCGATTAAAGATAATCGTCAATATAGTCGGGCCCGGGGCTGCGTCTGAGTAAGAACTAATCGATCGATGGGCACACACGGTCGTTTACAATCAATCCATCAGCGTTTATGTAACGCACAACTACCGATGATCTTCATTTATCATTTGTTTTGTGGGTAGCGAGATCGCGCTCTTGGGGATCAACGCAGACGTCTGTATAGAATAAATACCAGTGAGTTACGAAATATGATATGTAAACAACTTTTTCTCCTTTAATCTAATGACATATCTTGGAGATTGATCTACTGTGCAATCGGAGGTTTCAAGTTGATTAGTTTTTGATTTATAACGTCCCTGCTGTAAAGAAAATGCGTAATTGTATAGGTATGTTTGCATGTGTTTAAAGTAGGAGTGTGTTTAAAGTGTGGAGGTAAAATTAACTAAAAACTAACTTGTATTATGTATGTAATCTATAGACGTCTATAAACAATGGTGATCGCGACATTTGCATGTAACTAAGATAGACGGGAAACATTTCACACTAAACTGCTATTCGAGAGACAAAAACAAAAAAACAGTATGAATTATGATTCCGCATAAAGATAAAATACAATCTAAGCAAGCGCGCCAAATGGTGGAGAAAAAAATGAGATTTGTTCCTTTGAACAGCCTGTATTGATTAAAGGCGGCACAAGAAAGAGGAACATATTACTATACAGTAGTTGATGGAAACTACGAACAGGTTAATCGAGAAAAATAATTTATTGAATACATTAAGACAGACTTCGATGATATGAGCTTTAGATGATATAAGTTTTATAAGGCAAAATAAACATGTTGTCATCCGTATGTTTTACGCATCAGAAACAAGAGAAAAATATTTTCTTTAGGGGTGGATAAAGTACAAGGGGATCTATCTTGTTTTTGTAGTAGACGCTATCAGTGCAGTGTACCCAGATGTTTATATTTTCAGTTGTATCAGATAAACTAGGTGTTCATTAAACAACAAGGATGTTGTTGTTTAAAAGTACTCTAACATGGACGCCCCAAGGTGTGGGCGTTCTGAACAAACAACAAAAGAAATAAAACATGCACTGTAATAATATTATCAATACTAAGTACTCACGTACCACTTCGAAACACTACAGTTACGATGCACCCGTTCAAGCCGAATACTTAGCAAAACCAAAAATATTTTTTTAGTTTATTAATTTTTGTGATAGATGTTTAATACACATTTGTAATGTTACTGACCTTTACAAGTCACATCTAAAAAAAGTAGTGCAGTCTTTTGGTGGAAAGATATTAGATTCAATAGAAAAGAGTTAAAAAAATAAATTATTATAAGATTATTACCTTACCGTAATTGCTACCGTACGGTAGTAATTACCAGCAGCACATAATATTTGTACTCGTATATACTTTTTGTAGTATTTTATTCTATAACTTTAATACATTTACTAAAATAAAATAAAAATGCATGCTTTTGGTATAAAATACCGATGTGTGCGATGGACTTTGAGTGCTGTCAAGTGGCGTAAAGTAATCGATGATTGGCATTTATAATTATTATTGTGAATAATCCCCGTTTTATTCTTATAATAATATGCATAAAAGTAGGTGTGGTGTGAGGGATTAGAGTACGGTAGTACCTAAGTGAGTAAATTGTTGTTACTCTCGTTGCGAATAATACAAAATGCTATGTGTATAAGACTACACGCTTTCGAGGCTCAATCCAAAAATAAATAAAAGGGTTTTGTTTGATATTTGAAAAACTATCTAAAGTTTCGAACAGAAAGACAATTCTCAAAATAAAATTTTCTTTAAAATTTTGCTCTGATCTACTCTCGATCTCACAAATATCATAAAAGGTATTCTCGTAATGAAGTATTAAACATCCGAAAGTTGAATCGGTATTCAGGTTTATTTTATTAGGTTTATTTAGCTGTCATTAGCTTGATCATCTCAAATATGGTGATGACTAAGAAAAATCAATAAAAATGTTACGTATAGTAATGTCATTTGATGTTTAAAATACAGTTACAAACCTCAGATTGCAAAACTTTAGTATTACGCACTTTACTACAAAACTTTAGTATTACAAATTTAGATTAAAGGTATAATTTATTTATTTCTGGTATTTGGTATAATATAAGTACAACTAAGACAGTGTTTTTTTATAAATATACAGTTTTTTTTATTATGTACTTCAAAAAAAGTCAGTTGCAACTAAGACCTTAACAGGAAATGGGAAAACTATCCACAGCTGTGTTCTGTCTCTACGGTACACTAGTTATTTTATTTGATCTCCCTCAGGTAAACTCTATTACCGGTCCGTTTTTACAAGCAGAAATTCAATTTCAGTTCCGTTCGGTTTCAAGTTTTTCTGGAAAAGTAGGTTAATTCATGTACAGAAATGAAAAAAACAAACAATTTTAAATTAAATATTTTTATATAAGTATATACACGGTGATTTTGAAAGCGTTTTGGAAAAGAAAATTTTGAGTTATTTAT